AAAGTTACATTTCTTGTTATATAGGTCTTGCTTTATCTTGGTCTTAACCATCCAGCAGAAAAGTATAAAAACGAGGTATAAAAAGTAAAGCCATATCAATATGCTTAGGTGTAAAAGGCTCAAGTCAACAACTTCTGACATTGTAGACCTATAGAAAACTCACAACTATTATGGACTACTGGACTCTATTGGAACATTTTGCTGAATTCACGCACCTACAATATTTAAATGACAGTGGAATACCCTTCTCTGACAAAACTAAACAAAAGGGATACAAATGAATGACCATTTTGTATCTGTATATTCAGAATAGGATAGCTATAGTTACTTTCTCTTAATTCAATGAATAGAAGGATTTGTTCTAATAGTGTTTGTGGACAGGATATCATGTCTGCATCTTGTACAATGAATAACCACTAAGACAACAACATGCAATATAGTAATTATTGAAACTGTCCAACTGATTGGTTTTTAAACTATCTCAATTCTGTTTGTTTCTCAATAAAATCATTAAAAAAAAAAAAACCAACTATTTTTTCCTGTGAATGACAATTTAAGTAGGTAAATGACCCCTGGAAGTCAGTCTTTGATACACGGGTCTCATCTTTGAACTGTATTTATTTATTTATTTATTTATTTATTTTTCTGTATTTTAGGGAAGGGTCTACAAGGTGTTTCAGGGTCTCACTAGTAGATCAGACTTGTGATCTGCCTGTTTACAGCCTCCCAAGAGCTGGGATTACAGGCATGTGCCATCACACCTAGTCTCAAATGCCAGTCTCAGTGCGCCCCGGGGGTGGGGCCGGCATGGGAGGCCCAGGGATCGAATCTTCCACACCTGCACCTGCTTGTAGGCGATTTAATCCGCTGAGCTATTTGGCCAGCCCTTTTATTATTTTTATTTTTATTTTTTTCACATCTTTGAACTCTTAGGACACCTGTTAACTCAGAAAACCCAAAGCAGCCTGACCTGAGCCCCTTCAGAATTCTCCTTCCTTAGTTGTTCCTTTGTTTCTCTGTGACTACGAGATGCTGACTCTTGTTCCTTGACAGTGGCTTCTGGGTGGTAGCTTCGGTGGGAATTCCATCATCTTCTTATCTGTGGTCTCTTTCTTTTTTCTGTTGAATTTGGAAATTGCCTCCTGTTGTTGTTTTGATACTCAGCTGTGCACCGTCTGTTCTGTGTTTTGGAATCCTTGTACGTTGGATCTCCTTGTTCTCTTTTCTGGTTCTGTGAGATTTCATGGTGCTTGTTCTGTCTTTGCAGTTATCACAGGGTGCTCACACATTGTTTTCTTGTTCTCAGCCTTCTAAGCACGAGGACCCACGTTCGATCCCTGATCCCACATGCTATGCTGGCCATGTTCCAGGCCAGCCTAGGAGGTCACCAAAACTGGGCATGGTGGCACACGCATATAATCCCAATGCTGGGAAGGCTGAAACAGGAGGATCAGTATGAGTCCGAGCTATATAGTGAGGCCCTGTACCAAATACATAAATTAAAACCTTCGAGTGAGTTTCTTCTGTTCTTTAAATACCACTTATTAATTTTGAATCATTCCTTAATTTTTGTTGGCACTTAAAAATGAATTTCAAAACGCAAGGTCCTGAGTTCAATCCCTCATATCATAAAAAAAGAAACGAATTTCGTTTTGGCAATAATGGTTTGTTTTCTTTCCTAAAATGCTTTCAGTTACAGATTTGCTTGTAAATTAATTGTTTATT